AAGAAATTCCTAGTGCTAGTACAAAATTGTAAATTAAAATCCTGCTGTCATTAAATAGCTAGGAACAAATAAAATTAAAGGAGGTTTTTTTTAATAAAAAATACATTTAAAGTTTTAAAGATTGATCATTACAATGATGACAGAGAGATGTCAACATAACATGTGTGTTTAACTTAAGTAAAAGTTATAAATCAATACTTTTTGCATCAGCGGTTATTTACGTAAATTAAGTATTTAGAAATTTAATGGAAAATCAATATATTGAATACCATATTAGTATGAAATATCCCATATACCTACCTATTTTATATTAAAAAATGTTGTAGCCTTTTTTGTGATTTCACTACCACCATATATACCTTTCTTAAGTAATAACACGTGGGTAATGTAATTATTAATAGGTATAAGGACATTTGATAGTGTTCTTAGTTCTTAGGGATCCTTTTGATATATCAAAATTTTCCGACGGAACACGTGACAGTTTCCTTTATTTCAGTACAAGGATTGATGTAAATTGGAAGCTAGCTGTTACTTCAATATTGTGGTGCATAAATAGATATAAAATATTATTTTAATATATTTTTTTAATAATGTAATAGATTTGATTGATTTATGCTTTGTCAAATTGAATAGAATATTAAAGATGTTATATCCCAAATATCTATTAAACATGTCCAAACGTAAAATACAGGATATTAACAAATTATTAGATTATTTTGTTTAAAAAAATAATTAGAAGTATAAGAATATATGTATAAATAATAAAACGCCAGATATTTAAGTTAAAATATTCTTCGTTCGTTATGAAAAATCAGCCCACGAATCTGAAGCCAATTCAGCAACCAACTGAACAGGATAACGTGTAACACTGAACTTGAGTGGAAAACGTATCTACTCTTTTACATACAATACCTTAATTTACAATTAAATTGAATTGTCTAGACTATTTCCGAAAACTGAATGTCAAATCACAAAATGTAGACCTTTGAAATACACGTGAAATAAGACAGATAATAATGGCAAGCTCTGGGTAGTTTGCTTTTAAGTTTAAAACGCGTAGAAAAACTACACAATTTGAGTTAATTTTGTTCTTGTTCATAAAGTCTTGACAAATTGTATTTTTAGGTTTATCAAATTAAATTATCTGTTAAATCAACTATTATTACTTCTGATTATTAATGAATTATTAAATTAACTGCAAATATAATATCATTCATCATTCCATACAAACTTGAGACTTTAAACTCATATTATATAACGTAAAATTTCTTAAAGAAAATTGTCTAAGCGTCTGATTAATTCTTTTGGTTTTCAAAAGCTAGGATACTCGAAGGGCATGGCCACCGTATCAGCTTAGAATGAAAATGAGGTAATTTAGCCAGTATTTATAGAAATTTTATTTTGAACGTTCCTTCTTAATGGAATTTTAACTTTTATATGACACGACATTCGTGTAGATAAATCTGAAAGTTTACAACATGTTTGGATGTTTGTTATGCTTAAATGGCCGAACAGTTTTGAATAAAGTTTGGTATTCCATAATCTGTAATTTGTTTAAGGATCTTGATTAATGCGGGCAAAGCCGCAGCTTACAAAGAATTATTTGCTTAAGACACTACTTTTCTTATGTTCTAATTCAAACTGTTATGGTAGTTGGAATGACGTTGTAAACATCAGGATAAAATCACATGCACTGATGCAATTTCTTCAACCGTGGTAGTAGTTAGAAGCAATATGTAAACTCAAGACAGAAATGTGTAGTTGGGCTCGATTTGAGTATGGAATATTAACTGAAACCGCCATGGCGACCTTCATAAATTAAGGCAATAAATGTCAATGTCTCAAAACGGCCGTGTCGACCGAAAGTAGCAGGATTTGTTATAGGGTTTCAGTTGACAATTATTTTTCTGAACATGTGTGCGTATCGACTAACTGTTTAATGATACACAAATAAAACTAAGAAGTGTGAGCTAAGGTCGACCTTCATATATATATTATGTAAATTTCAATTAAAAAACAAAACTATAATATTTTTGCAAATGATCGTCATTTGCTACAGAGAAAAATAAATAATCTATTTCGAATTAAGTAGATAGTTTGATGGTAATTCGTCAATATATTTTACACTCTTGAATAGGTATATATATTTCTTGTTTCACTTTTCCTTTGGATTTATTAATTATACAAATATATTTTAAAACCTAGATAGAGCATAATTCTTTAGATAATCATAGATCACGGTCTAAAAAAGAATTATATTGATAGATTTATAGCATTAATAATCTTACTTTATTCTTAACTCCACCAAAATGAATGTCGCAAAATCTGATGACATGTGTTTAATGTTCTATCATTTAAATTGTTTAAAATTACTATACAAATATATTAACTTATCGCCAGGAATGAGAAAAGGTCAGCTAACAAAATACTTTGCTATTAAGTTACATCAGGCTGATTATCATATATGCAGGCATTGTGATTATTTCTTGTAATTGTTTGTATGTATAATAAGTTTACTATTGTAATCTTTTGGAGAAAACAATAAAGAGTATCTATCTATCCATCTATCAGGCTAATTATTTCTATATAGAAGCGGTATGGCAGCGGACCCAAAACACTGCCTTGAGAAACCACCAATAAAATAGAGTAATAATTAGATTCCAACATCTTTGTCATACGCATATCATCAATATAGTTTACAATAAACGATTTATGTATATATCTTCGGTAAAAACGCGGTATTTGACAACATTTACGTACGTTGCCTTCATATCTAGAGTTATATAGCGGCTAGTAATATAACGTACCTAATAAAACTTTATACAAGCTAAGCTTTATCGATCGTAAACCCAGTCCTATTATGTTCTACTTGTATGTTGCTACCGAGTTTATGATTAAGCGGAGTGCATATGTGTAATACCTATGTAAAAAGTTCAAATAGTCTCTTATTAAAAGACTTCGAAAGGAGAAGAAATATCTTATATATGTAGGTGTATTACATATCTTTACGAATCTTCTATATAAATAAAAATAAATAGCTAAATATGTTACTAAGTACAAAACGTATTCTTATTTTTCTAATAGATATTTGTTGGTCTTAAGTAGATTCTTATAAAGAAAAAAATTGGGAATATATATATATATATATATATAAATAAGATTGCCTGGAAGAGATCGCTATTTAGAGATAAGGTTACTCATTGTTGCTTCTTTATCTTGATTTTTGTATTATTTTTTGTATACTTCATTATCACCATATCAGCCGTTAAATATCCACTGTCGAAATAGGGCTTCTTTATAAAGGGGGTTTTACCAGTAGATGTAATAAGCTTGGCAGACGCGTTGGTTACCTTTGGTGATGTTATAAGAAAGACGTTGCTGCTCATCCCTCGACCATAAAGTTCCCTTAATCGCCTCTTACGACAACCATTATTTATTGAAAATTTTTATAATCTGTATCATTCTTTGAAGGGTTGTAATAGGATTATAATAGGATGGATATAGATAATAATATTAACAGTATGCGGGTATCTGAAGAGACTGCGCGGGCTGCCAGGCGAAGACGTCGCTCACTTCAGTCCTGTCGTGACCACGACGTGGTGTAATCCACGTCGAAACGTTAGCAATAAAGATGTAGGTACTACTTAGCAGTAAAAATTTTATTGAAAAAATTAACAATATCGGTTTACGTGGAAATATGGTGCAATATAGATAATATAGTCGAATTGAGAACCTACTGGAATTTGAAGTTTAAAACACTCTTTTGACACTTATTTTAAACAAAATCGTTATATAATTTGGCACAAACACCTAAGAGAAGTACGGCCTATAAACTTTAATACTTTATTGTACACACTAATTATACATAAAAATATGACAGAAGTAATCAAATGTACAGAGGCGAGCTTAAATCTAAAAGAATTCTCTTCCAGCAAACCCAAAGTAGAAAGAAGCGTCAGTATCAGCAGGTAATGCGGTGTACAATATTGTCAAAATTTTCAAACAAAGAAATTGGACAAACTTAAATTTATACATAATTAATTACATTATATTTAATCGTATAAATACACACATACATAGACATAAATATATACTTACATCTATGCATATACTTAAACATACATACACACACATATACATATTATATAATAAATCTGCACATATAGATATTTAAATGTTAAATTAATATGTTCATAAATAGAAGATGCTGTTTAAGTGTACTTTTAAAAATATTTATGAATTGCAAGCGGGTCTTTGCATCTACGCGAAAATACCTGAGTTTAATGTCTGTCTAGTAAATTTGGCACTTATAAACTTTACGTTTGGACACATTTGATTTCATTCGGTGCAAAATGTTTTAACATCTTTTGAAATCTGTTTGTATGTGGTACTTATTCTGTGAGATTGTTCTTGTATGCTTAGAACGAAATGTAAATTGTTATATTTGTTTTATAAACGATTATTTTATGAATATTATTTTAGCCGTTAGCTATCCACTGCTGGAATATAAAAAGAAAATAAAAAATATATATATAAATAAGTAGATATATCATTTATTGCAATGGAAAACAAGCTAATGGCCCATCTGATGGAATGTGTAATACGTCGCTTATAAGATGTTTATATCGCTGTCTTGTTTCATTACCTATAAATAAAGAAAGAAAGATAACGTATTAGTATATTAATAGAATTGTTTATTACTTGTTTAGGTAAAATAGAATGGTAACCCCGCCGGTGTATTGCAATAAGGTAGACGAGGAATTAGCAAGAAATCATAGATATGACTGATGTAGGGTCAATTTATCCTTTGTGATGATATTGTTAGGAATTATCTACGATAGTTATCATATAGGACTGTTCGGTCTACCTGGCATTGTATGTATCAATAGGTCTGCTAATCTCCTTACTAACACCAACGTCCTCTAAAGAGGGCAGATTCTCACCATGTGTTCCTATGAACGGCGTCACCAGGCAGTGTTGTATACTGATTGTGTTTACAGGACGGGGCGAGGCAGGCGGCGCGATGGCCTGCGCCGGCTGCGAGAAGCCTATACTAGACAAATTCCTGCTGCACGTGCTGGAGCGCGCGTGGCATGCGGCGTGCGTGCGCTGCGCGGACTGTCGCGCGCCGCTCGCCGACAAGTGCTATTCTAGGGATAACAAACTCTTCTGTAGGAACGATTTCTTTAGGTGAGTGTAAGGATGTTCTTTTAATCCAACTTGGACTGGCAACGAAGCTGATCGCTTACCAATATTATTGTACTGATGGTCGCGCGCTGCTCGCGGATACGTACCATTATCGTATTCTAGAGATAAGAAACTATTTTGCAAGAACTTTTTTTTAAATTTTTCTTTAATCCAAATAAGCTGATTGTCCAATGTTGCACGCTCCACATGGACAAGTGCTTTTGTATTAACAAATTTACATGTGGAAAGTTCTTTAGTTGTGGGTATGGATATTTTTAATTCAAAATGGAGTGACAAACAACATTTATATGTTGTAATTCGTGAAGAATAAGGTGTCATGTTGCTGTCATAGAAAAAAACAAATATGTCTATGGCTTCGTACTTTGTATTTTCACTACCATATCTACCCATCAAACCGAAACACAGTCATGCAACCACAGTTGCTTCGCTATAGAAATTCGAGTGACAGTTGTACATAATTCAGACGAAATTATACTTAATATAAATTGTTAAAGTTTGGAAACATGTTTGGATCTTAGTAAATGGTTGGATTATAATCCTTATTGACTTGGACTATTTTCTGTTTATACTAATGCACATAAAAAGACAAGGATACTGCTTATAATGTATATTAGAAAAGGGTATGATCAATATCTAAACATGATGAAAATATTATATATGTATATATTGTACATATTCAACTAATTTTGAGCTTTTTTTTTGTACAACTTAGAATGACAAACAAGCTGACGGCCTACCTGATGGAAAGTGGTAACCGTCGCCTATAGACATGAGCAGTACCATGGACATAACAGAGTATACTGTTTCGTCCATGATACCCCCCATGCGTTGCCATTCCTGAGGACTCAGGTGTTATTCCTCTGTATCCTGTAAATTCACGTCATATCCCATCCTTCAAACCAAAACACAGCCATGCAATCACAACTGCTTCACGGTTGAAACACGAATGGGACAGAGGACTATATTTCATTCAATTTCAGTGCTAATATTTTTGAGTTATTGATGTACGCAAAGTGTTTATGGACATTGGGAATTTATGATTGATACGAACATCTAAGAGAAAATTTGTATAAAAGGCATAATTAAGACATAAGCTTTCCTTTATTGTTTTTTAATAAAGTATAAATGTTCATATAGCTAACTAAATAAGCAACATTGAGATTTGTTAACTAAAAAAGTTACATTCTAAACTAAAATCAAACTCTTTGTATTCTGAGGGTCTACCATGAAATGTTTTACAAATTTCGAGGCTGATCGAAACACTTTGATGTTAAATTAAATATTATATACCATTAAAAATATTATAATATCATTCCTTGGACTTTTATGTTATGATTATTGATGAACAAAATTACATTTTGTAAAGCTCCATTCATTGGACCAATTTCGGTATGAACACACGAAATTGAGTCCAAAAATTCAGAATTTCTTTTCATGATAGACCCCTTGGTAAATACGAATGACGTCAGGTAATTACAAATTGACAAGAATAATTAAATAACATTGTTAACCAGTCAATGTTGACTGATTACTCGTATTGCCGATGATTACACATTATACATGCACATTTATATTTATATTATTATATCACATATATCGTTTATTTTATTTTTCCCTCATTATATGATGTTGAATATAGAAGCTTGCAGAATATATAAAAATGACGAATTTTATTTTAGTACATATTTACATTTATTGTTACCTTTATTGTAATTGGTGCCTTTAATTATTTCATAACATTTCATTCCGTCAACTTTATTATTATTTTGTTTATAGACATAAAAGTATATTAATTTATTTTTCGTAATTCTTCGAAACTAAAATATTCATATTTAGATTTCTATGTGCATCAGATATTCGGATTTTTAATATTTATTTTATATAACATAATTAGATTTTACAATTATTTCAATATTGTATTGTTATAATGTTTGATTTTTTAATTTTTAGTGAGTGCATTGGTAGAAACTGTTAAATTCACCAAAAATATGTATATAAATAAATAAATAAATAAATGTGGCATAGTTTTTAAAATGACGATAAATGCAAAACTCTAATTTCTTTCTAACATAGTAAAGCTATCGTGTTTCCCCATTACCTTTACCCTTCAGTGCATATTTGACTAATTTATTATATTGTTGTACTAGCTATTTTATATTTCAAATAAAAATGGTCGATCTTTGTATGTGGAGGAAATAGATAAGAAGATGATATGTAGGGTTCTCGTAGTGAGTAGGTATAGTATATCAATAATATAAATAAAATAATAGTATAAAAGGCCCAGTAATAGTATTTATACAATTTGATAACAATTAATATATAAATATTCGAAATATGATTTTTTTTTTAAATTTTCCTACTAAAATCAGTGAGTATAAATTTATTTTTATTTATTTATGTATTTACATGGAACATGGTAAGTGTATAGATGTTACAATAAGTATAAGTCCTCATATTTCGCTATAATTAGGCATGCAAAAAAAAATTACTACATATAGTAGAAAAAGTACACAATGTTTTACACCTGTAAGGAAAACCGGTAGAGCATTGTCGATAAAAATATATGTTAGCCTTTTTAATTTTTCTTACAGTTAAAATATAATTTGTACTTTATCAATAAAGTTGAAAATGATTTTCAAATTTCGAATATGCTCTTTGCAGACAATAATTTTTTTTTTAAAGTTACGTTATACGCTCATAAAATAACTGAAACAATATTCCGGACACGGCGACAGCACACTAGGCATTTTACTGTTTTATCAAATAATTTAAATGAGAGGGAATGATTAAAACCATAAATAAATAAGACCGGCTAGTGTTTGTTGTTTGCGTAGAAATATTATTGTGACGCTAACAAGCGCCATCTTCGGGTTACATTTTGTGTGTGGATTTCAGAAGTTAGAAAATCAATGAAACAAACCACGTCTAAATGGCGTAGATATCATGATAAAATATACACCAATTTTTAAGCTAGACCTTCAGAATATACAACTATAGACATTGCATCCAATTTGGTATAGTAATTTCTGCGTGCTGCCGGAACAAATATACAGTCAAAATGTTTAAAAATTGTTGTTATGCCATATATTGGTCTTACTAAGACCTCTCATATAATTTTTTATTAAATATCTCCCTTGTCTAGTTAAAATTTTATTATAATATATTAGTAAAAAGTAAGTGTTGCGACATCTTTGACCGGTTATCTCACTGGCCGCTAAGACGTTCCACAAACAAAACTAACTACAGATAAAACAAATGGCTAGGATAAAGACCAAAAAAAAAAAAGACGGATATAATTATGATTCAGAAATTTGCCTTTTAATTTTAATAGTTTTGACGACAAATTCTGACCATCGATCCTCCCATTTTTGATCTTTCAGTAAGATGTAGCATTGCTTGCAGAAAATTGTTTTAATATTTTGATTTAGTTGTAAGATACTACGTCGGCGGAGCAGTGAGTTTATGTTTTTGTACTTACATATGAGACGTCATAGGAGTAGGACGAATAACCCGTTTTGACGCGTTGACATCTGAGGCGGGTGACGAGGGCGTGGTGACTGACGACGTGTCGGTTGTATGTAATTAAAAGAACTGTCATCGTGACTAAAATAAAATAGTTACTGGAGTCTAGTACTTGTGCTTATACACATACTAGCTTTTACCAGCGGCTTCGGCCGCGTGACTAGGATATATTCACTGAGTGGTATAAAAGTAACTTATCATCATCATACCAGTCTTTAACTATCCATTGCTGAACCTAGCTTCCCCCATAAGGGGAGTTTTGCCAGTATTTGCCTTGACAGGCGGGTTGGCAACTGCATTTAGGCTGTAGAAATGTTTTAAGATAGACGCTGCTCCCCTTTACTCGATTTTAAGTTCTCTTAGTCGCCTTTTACGAAACCCACGGGAAAGGAAGCCTTGGCCGATTCTATGCCGGGACTGGCACGGCGATAAATACAATGCTTTAGAAAAGAATATTATGATGGTAACTGTAGTTCCATATGACATATGGAGGGACAGAGTGATCGATATTATGAACTAATACCAGTTGGCCATATGCAGACGTATAAAAAACTTGCTCTAGACCACACAATACAATAGCTAAGACATAATAATAGTAATTAAGTATAATTTTTCATAGATCTTCCACCTAAACACACATCATAATAGCGGACAGTTAAATCACATGGTGCCAAGTTTGAAAAAAGAATAAACTAAAAAAAAAATGTAATTTTGTCGCAGGTCAGGTATCTGCGGAAAACGGTTCACTTAAGACTTCCGCTGGCTTGATGGTTTAATTTAGTACGGTTTAGGAATCCGTAACAATGAAATTAACACGATGTCCACAGTTTATGAGATGTATTTGTTTCATTTTTAGATTTGTATTTATTTTTTTATTTAAAATAATTTTTATTATATTAAATTTTTTTATTGTCTAAAGATTTTTCGTACGGATGAAGAAAGTTAGTTAAAAAAAAAGTTGTTAAGTTTTCATAACTTTATCACTGAGACACTTCCTAAATTAAATGAATGAAGTAATTAAATGAAGAAGCAATCTATTGATTGATTTACAATTGACTTCAAAAAGAAGGAAGTTCTCAATTTGGTTATAATATTTTATATTTGTTACCTTATAAATCTATCAGTTGCAAACAGATTTTTATCTAAAAAAATTTACTTACAAATAGATTAGGCAAATGAAATAGTTTTTTTTTATGGAACACACATAAGTAAATATAAATAGTTAATATTATTTATTTATTGCTGTCTATCTGTTATCAGTAGATTGTTTTATGTCTGGTTCGATTTTTGGTTTGTTTACATATTCGTTACAATCTATTGAAACAAATTATACATCTTTTATTGTGTCCACACACACATCAGTGACTCATTTCCTATTAACGCGCTAGTTACTTATTCTCTTGACTTCTTTTTAAGACTGTAGGAAAATGTTAAATGTTTATTTTTATTATCTATAGACC